TCCAGCCTGAGGTGACCATGCTTTCTAGATGTGCGCCCTTGTGTAAGTCTACATGGCTCCTGATTCCCCAAGTACAGGAGTCAAATGAGATGTGATACAAGCTTGCTGGGTTTTCTGAGGGGCAGAAAGAAATTGTTACATAGACTCAGCGGGAGATGATGTGCTACTGAATTACTACTATTGCACACAGAGAATACCCTGGAAGTGGATGGATCACGTCACGTCATGTAGGAGTTGCGGTGGGCCAGCTCTGGAGAGACCAGTCGCAGCCAGGAACCCCTCCTCCTGCTCTGCCTTGGACAGACTTGAACCCACACAGACACTCCCACTTGCGTTTTATTAATTAAGTACGGGAGGACTGGTTACAACGGGGGTGGAGGTGGCAGAGAAGGCCCAGCCCCCACCCCCACCATCACGGGCACACGATAATAAATAAATAGCTGGGACAGGCACAGGGGAGAAGTGGCACAGCAAACACTGACAGCACAGGGAGGGAGGCAAACACCCCCATTCCGAGCTGTGGCCACCAACACTGGACTGGTTATCATGATCAGGGGAGGGTGGGGCTCTCAGCTATAGAAGCTCCCAGAGCTGCTGAGTGGCCCCCTGGATAGCAGTCTTTGTGGAGGGGTGCCTTTAGCATGTGGACCCTTACTTATTAACAAAAATCTGGACCCCTGGTTGGTTCAATCAGATCCAGGTAGTCCAGAAGCCACTGTCTCTAAGGCTACTGGATTCTTCTTTTCAGGATCTAGGAGATCAGTGGGTCATTATTACCTGCTGTCCTGACTCGTCTACCCAGGATCTAGGACATAAAAGGGTCACTGTCATTTAACTTTTTGATAGGTCCATTCAGGCTCCAGGAAATCAAAGGGTCATTGTTATTTAGGCTCCCAATTGGTCTACGGAGGACCCAACATCCATGAATCACTATGACTTAGACTTCTGATTGGTCCATTCAGGGCTCAGGACAATAATGGTTTGTGGTTACCTAGACCTCTAATTGGTCAACAGGACCCCAAGGCCACGACCTGGGGAGCAGGTAGAGCTCTAGAGGCCCCAGGGAGGGGTGAGGGAGTTAAGTGCTCAGGGTTGGGGGAAATCTTCAGTGAGCATCAGGGCCCCGATTTCAACAAGGGTTGAAATCACAGGGTCACAGGTCACAGGGCAGGAAATAAGGCCACCTGGATGGGTCGGGCCAGGGCAAACTGGTGGCGGAAAGGGGCCAGCTTTTGTGACAGCAAAGAGTGCCCAGCTACTGCTGGGAGGGGGTGCTAGGGCCCTAAAACCTTCCCTGGGTCCCAGACCCACCAGGATGTAGAAACTGGGGCCAGAGAGCCAGTAGCACTTAATGCAGCTCAAGGCCCATCACCTCCATCTATGGGATCAGGGTGGGGAAGAGGTGGGGCTGCGGTTGCAGGTCAGGTGGGCTCAGTCCTCCAGCCCTTCCATTAAGTCCGCGACGCTCTCCACATAGTAATGGGGCACGAGGTCGTGCTGGCCAGCTGCCAGGTAGGCCTGGGCCTCCTCCAGGCGGGAGACGCCCGTAAGTGTGAGCACGGTGGTCATGCCACAGCGGTGGCCGAAGAGAATGTCGGTCTCCAGGCGGTCGCCCACCATGATGGTGCGGGCGGGGTCCACGCGGAAGTGCTCCGTGATGCACTCGAACATGTAAGGGCTGGGCTTGCCCACCACCAGGGCCTCGCGTCCCGAGGCCGTCTCCACAGCAGCAGCCAGGCTCCCGGTCCCTGCAGGGAGATGGAGACTGTCAGTACCGGGGGAGAGGAGGGGGAGAGGCAGCAGGGACGGCATCCAGGCCCCGAAACTGGAATTCTCAGGGAGGCAGCTTGGCATGGAGGTACAATTAGGCATGGAAGTGAGTCAAAAGGCTTGCTTTCAAGTCTTAGTGTAGCGGTAAAGAGTCCAGACTCTGCACCCAGATGCCTGCATTCAGACTCCATCTCCAGCTTTCTCAGGCAGGCTGTTTAACCTCTTGGTGCCTCAGTTTCCCCATCCCTAATGGCACTTATCTCTTGGGGGTATTGGAAGGACTGACTGCACCACTGCATGTAACTGGGCCTGGCTCAGTCAGTCCTGCCCGAGGGTCACTCTTTCATCCTGGCAGCTGTGTGCCTTCAGGCAAGCCACTCTACCTCTCTGAGTTTCCTTGGACTGGCTGGAAAAGGAGGATTCGACTAATGTCTACCTTCAAAGAGGCGCTGTGGGCAACACAGGCGCAAGTGCTTTGGAAATGGAAGAGCACTTCCCAGATGGCAGTTGTGGGTTTTGCTACAAGAATGTGTACTCCTGGAATCAGAAACTGGCACAGCCCTTTTGGAACAGAGCAGTGCCCAGGAATGTTCGCACCTCTGACCCAGTCAGCCTCCGCAGGGCCAGCGGTCACAAGGAGGGAATTCAGACTGGAGACAAAAAGCTACATGCTTGAAGATGTCCGTGGCCACAGTGACTATAATACCCAAAATTGTGAACCGCACCCAAGCGCTTAACAATCGGAGGACTGTTCAGAAAAGGACAGTTCTGACTCCTGGCCCAGTACCATCCCGCCCCACACAATGGGTTCCCTGTGCCAGTCTCACAGGCACATCTCTATGCCAGAATGTTTGGCCTTCACACTAGTCCCCTGAACAAATGAGGATGATGATGATGATAATAATCACAATTTACTAAGGACATTCTAAAGTGCCAGAGCTATGCTGGGTGCCCATGGGAGCCCATTTTACAGATGAGAAAGCTGACACGCAGTGACGTTAGGTAACTTGTCCAGAGCTGCACAACCTAACAAGGTAGATAAAGGATATGCATTCAGGCGGCTCTGACCCAGCTGTGTGCTGGGCCAGCTTGTACTGGTTTGGGAATGCTGAATGATTCATTTTCAGGAATCCTGTGAGCTGGTGGTTAAATAAAGCCACTATTTGGGCCGGCCAAGTGGCGCGATGGTTAAGAGCTGGCTTGGGACACCAGAGGGCCCCAGTTAGGATCCCACATATGACGGCCAGTGACACTGCCCTCTACAGCTAAGATGCTGAACAACAGCTCGACCTGGAGTTGGGCTGCCATGAGTCATCGGCGACGGCGTAGGCTGCAGCCACTGCGGCAGTGGGTTGCCATGAGCTACCGTGTGTAGCTAGCAGCCAGCGTGAGTGGCCAGCAGCCGCAGTGAGCGGCCGTCCAGAAGCCGGCGACTGATCTGCCTCGCCCGGGAAGAGCACAATGATGGTGCCAGCTTGGGCCAGTGAAGCAATGTCCTCCACAACTAGACTGAAGAACAAAAAAAAAAGGACAGCAACTTGTCTGTTCCCCTTCCTCCAATTCCCCAATTAAAAAAAATAATAATAATTGTAAAAGTATTACTAAATAAATAAATAAAGCCACTATTTAAGTCCACTTATGTAAACGTCCGATCAAATGAATTATGTTTGAAACAAAGGTAATACATTCTCAAAGCTCATCACTTCCTAATGATTTTACCATTATCTATGTTCTTGAGATGATTTATGTCTATAATGATGGAAATACTATCTAATGGTGTGCACACATCTTCCTAACTTCATATTCAGTAACTTCATGTTGGTAGCTTGAAAATTCACCAGGATGGGAGTATTTACAGCATGGACATTGATTGGCAAATGGTATAAACCACGGCTCCCCAATTATAAACACTTACCAGTTACACCACTGGTCTGACCCCAAGTGTTCTGGCCTTCTGTTTCCCTTCTCACAGTGTAGATAAGCCAAAGGCTCAGAAGGGTGAAGTGGCCCCAGGGGAGGAGGAGGGACTTCCTGTGTCACAGGACCAGGGCAGAGCTGGCCCACTGGGAGGTTCTCCCTGATATCTGCCTTAGGACTTGCCCGCTTGTTTTCACAAGAACTGGGTAGGGAAGAAAAGCCATTTGCCCCCGTGGTGAGAGATTCCTTCCAGGATGGGAAAAACTTAACTGAGTAACCCCAGTTTTTCTCCTGACTCAAGAAAGGTCTCGGCTGTCAGCGCCTTCCTTTCCTACCAGGATAGGGCCCATCGCCCTTGGCCCCACCATGTCCCACTTCATTCACTCAGCTAGTATTTACTGAAGCCCAACTACATGCCACGCACTGTGCTAGGCACTGGAATTGAGCAGTGAACTCAACTAAGATCCTATGCTGGGGGAGCAAGCTTCCTAGCAGGGGACTCTATGAGCATAACTCTGCCCTCAGACCACCACGATCCCCTTCTCTCAATATCCTGTAATCCAAGACTGTCACATGTTTTGGTGGTGACGTATTCCTTAGACAGTAGGCATTTTTATTTGCCAGCTCATTTATTTGCCAGGCATTTTTATTTAAGTGGCTGCCCTGTGGTTACAAGGTAAACACACAGTTCAGGAGACCCGCAGGGGAAAAGGAAATTAGGGTGAGAGATTTGCATTATTTCAGATTTTATGCATAACAAAGGCCTTTATTAATATTTGTACACCACTGTCTCAAAGCTGCATCATTCAACGTACAGACACGCCAGCAACGCTGCATTTGTTAGGCCTCCGCCTCCCCCTCTAGGCTGTGGGAGTGACCAGCTGGAGTGGCAGGCACAGTCAAGTGGGTGCTGAGACAGAAGGGACAGGAGTGGGCAGGGCCTGGTTTCTCCCCAGCTCTCCCACACTACCCTTCCTGAGCCCTGGGGGCCTTTTAACCCACAACCTTAACCTGAGCTTTGAAGACTTCAGGGAGGAACTCAGTTTTCATAACATGGTCTAGGGCAGGCAGGAGCTGCAGCAGCTGGGAGACCTGACCAGAGCCCTCACCTTGGATTTATGGGGAAACTGAGGCTGAAGTAGTCATGCAACAAGTAGGTCTGCAACAAAGCTAGGACAGGTCTAGAATTATAGATTCCCAGCTTGGAACTGGTTCTGCCAGTTCCCTTAGCGCCCTGTTCTGCAAGATGCCTCCTCTAAGAAGCCCTCCCAAATCCCCTCAAGCTCCAGGCCCTCCCTGCCACCCCATCATAATACTGTGTCTACTCCTCAATCAATACCATCCTGCCCCACCAGGATTTGGTATCAATGATTGTCTGGGTCAGTGACCAGCAGGGAGTGATGGAGAGATGTCCCTGCCCTCTACTGGCTTGGGGCACTGACCTGTCCACACTCCCTACTGTCAGTGAGTCTCTGCTACCATCTGCTCCTGTCTAACTTGAACCCGCCAAGATGTAGCGCTTCCGCCTGCTCTTGCCTCCTCTGCAGGTCTGAAGGCCCAAATGAAAGCAATGAGGAGGGCCTTGAATGGAGGACGTTGGGGTTAGGGTGGTCACAAAAGCCATGTTCAGGTCCTTAATCTCTTGGGCAGCTCACGTCCCCTCTCTTAGCCTCAGTTTCTTTAACTGAGAAATGGGACAATAACTCCCATCGCCAGAGTAATTTGGCAACTGAGTAAGAACAGACACCAAGGTGCTGCAACATAACAGGGCTCTGGGTACAACTTACATCATCTGAGCACCTGTGTGCCCNTGGGGCCCAGCTCCACTGTGGTGGGTGGGTGGGGCCCAGCTCAACTACCTTTCCTCTGTGCTTCCCCTCCAAGGGCCACAGGTACCCCCCCTGCCTGATTGAGGAACTGGGAATTTCAGGAGGTGTTCTAAACCAAGGACAGAAGTACTGCAGGCACAGTCCTGCCCAACTGCCATCAGGTGGGCCTGGCTGGCTGTTCCAGCCCAGTAGATGGGCTCTCAGGACCCCAAGAGCTGCTCCTCCATTCTCCCCGCTACCCAGAAGATATGCCCAGCACCAGGGAGTGTTTGCTGCTGGACGAGAGGCTGTTGACTCCTTCCTCTTCAGCATCTGGCCAGCTGAGGGCTGGCAGAGAGCTGGTGTGGCGTGGTGAACAGGCCCCCAGAAAAGCCCTTTTGGGACTCTGGAGACCTGCCACGCCCTTCAAGGCATCCTGACAAGTCCCTTCTCCTTTCTTGCCTCAGTCTCCCCATCTGTAAATCGGTGGAGGTGAAACCCTGTTGTCCTGTACAAGGTTAGTATGGGGTGTAGTTCTGGTGTGTGTTGTACTAAATAGGTGATTATTTTTTTCATAGCCTCAGAAGGTTTTTGTGTCTTTTCCCAGGCTGCTTACCTTCCTGGGGTCAACACTTCTGGGAGGCCCCTCCACCCCCACCTCATCCCCACCAGTCCCCTCCTGCCTAGGCTGGGGCTGGGAGTCTCTCAGATTCCAGTGTCCCTGATAACAGGGATGGTGGTTTTCCTAGGGGAGGCACAGGGACAAGGTGCATTGTGTGGTGGCGCCCACTTATCTGCCAGGCCCTGTGCCCGGTGCCTCGCTTTCATACATTATCTCATTTCATCTTCACCTCACCTCTTGTCTTCCAACTGGGCTGAACTGCACAGGGAAGCCGCTCTGGGCCCTGAAATGAAGCTGATGTTAGAATCGGGAAAAGAGAGGCAAGTCCTGATTTGGGGGCGGCCTGGCTGTGAATACAGCCAAGTTCTTGAACTCTCTGAACCTGTTTTCAGGCCTGGAAAGTGGGAACACTACCCAGTGGTTACCCATTTGCCCGCTGGTTGGAGGATTACAGGAGTGATATGTGAGGAGCTCAGTCATATCTCTCTTAGTTCTCTCTCCTGCACCCGCCTCTCCAAGCCAAGGCCTCCTCCCCCAGGCACTCCCCTCCCCCCATCACTGTCCTGCAGCGAGGCAGTGGGCTCTCTGGAATTCCTCCATCATACAGACCCACCTACAGGCTGGACCTTGG